GGTCCAGTCTTGTAAGCCAAGAGAGTAGTATGCTATGAATCCAGAAGTACTAATACTGAAACTGAACTGCGGGTGTAGCTTCTGGTTAACTTTGAATTGCCCCTTTGTCCTGTTTCCTCCCAAGGACAGTACCTTCTTGTTCGCTGCTCTATTCGATGTTACATCATGGCTACCACTGCTCACTCTTCCACTGCTTTTGACAGAGGTGGCTAACATTGTGAATAGGTGCAGATGCTTTTGAAAATATGGACAGATGAGGTCAATGTATCCTCACAGTTATTTATGCCTATCAGTTTGCTTTTTGGGACAAGGTGTACTGAAAGATCTTCAGTTGCTATTTGTCCTAAAATTAAGTACTTAGAGTTTCAGAAAATGCTGGAAATCAAGTCATACTGCTTTCAAACTAATTATGCCTCCTGTATCAGTTATGCCTCCTGTATCAATGTAAAACAAGTAGTTCTGTGGGCATGAGAATAAGGAACTTTTAGTAAGTGTCCTAGCCTTGCCCCTCCCCCAAATCTGCTTGCAATTAAAATTTCAGGAAACAAAGTAAGTCATGTTAGAAGTTTATGTAATTAAAATTAAAATTTTAAATTAATTAAAATTTTAAATTAATTAAAATTTTGGGTAATAAACTAATAGTCATGTGTATGAGATGAAAAGCCTAAAGGCAAAACAAGCATCCATGATTCTAGGTAAATTTTACTGGATGTGTTGATGTCATACAGTGAGTTTCCCAAACATTAAAATTCCTGTGATAATTTTCTCTCTCATTACAGCCCTTAATTTTAAAAGGTCATATCCAACATCAGTATCTTTGAGTACATTCAGTATGTGATAGAAAGATAGCACTTCAGGCCAGTAAGAAGACTGCAGTGTTCTATTGCTTTCTATATTTATACGTACTGCATAGGTTCCATATTACTTTGTGGGGTACGAGGGTTGGTATTCATCCAGAAACCATCAGTCAGTATGCTCAGCAAATCATTGTGCCTTTCATTGACTTGTTTTTCTGCCCTTTTGTACTGAGCAGCAGATACTATTGTATAGAAGGAAGTAAAATGAGAATCAAAGCTTCAGTTGTCCATGGAGTGCATTCCTTTCTGCATCTGGAATCTGCCTACAAAGGGGTTTTGTTTATGGTGTGTTGAATTAATATATCCATTTATTTGGTCTGACTTTCTTTGTGTTGCTAGTTGGCAAAAGACAGATTGATCAATTTGATGCCTCTTGGGAAAGTCCTTTGGATGTAAACTGTAGTTACTTGCTAAGTGAACTTTCTGCTATGATCAATATCTAAAAGTAAAACTGACATTAGTTTGCTTGCTATAAAAAAATTACATCATGATTGAAACTTAGTATCAGTGTCAAAATATGATAAAACTTTTGAGATGTTTTGGCCCAAATTCAGGAATGTTTAATTGTATTTCATTTTCTGGGTACCTTTTGTTAAGTGATGTCTTGCTCTATACCTCTGAGAGAAATTACTCTGAGCCATCTGTTTTGGTGATAAGTGCCAGGCCATAGTGTTCTTGGGGTCAGATATTAACATCAGATACATAACTTTAGTCCCCATTTTCTTCCTTAACACACTGTAACTAAAGCTTTGTGCTTTTCTTTATTTGGAAGGATGTTGAAGTTCTTTCTCCTTAAACTGTTCCTAAGGTTTTTTCAGCTTTGTTTCAGCTTTCTGAAGGACAGAGGTTTGAGTATCACTTGGGAATGGTACCAGCCCTCCTAATTCTCTGGACAGTATTACAGCAATTGACCAAGTTAGACCTCTATACTAGTCTCTTGCTAAGCGTAATTTTTCCTGACAACTCATGTGTGTTACGCTGTGCTATAGCTCTGTTTATTTTGCTGTGAGGTCTTGGAACAGTTTCCCCAACCAAAAGAGGGTTCCTGTACCTGCAGGCGTACTAATTTGTCTGTCCACACTAAAACAGGCATCTACAGTTATTTTTCTTACTATCCTCTACTTTGCATCTCTAACTAAAAGAATGTGTCTAAAATGGGCATTAGAAGTTCAAAAGACAAACTGCATATCATTGGCCATTTTCTTGTGGCCAATAAACTTTCTCAAATTAACCATGTTCTCCATAACACTTAGGAGAATTTTTCCATCCAGGTAGACTTCAGTTTCTAGAGCAGTACGTAGGCCAATTTTCATGAGCACCTAATTAAGCAAAAAGCTTACAGTTCATCTCTGTGATACACTAATGAATCTCTTGTCTTGCTGTACCCTTGCAACTTACTGTTCTACTCTTTTTCTCTGTGTTCTCTCTGCAGGCCTATTTGCAGTAGTTTAGTGCATTGTAACAAACACTTTACTGTAGTCCATTATTATTGTCAGAGGTAACATGCTGCCTTTACATCTTTCTGAACTGTACTCTGTGTGTGTCTTGCAAATAAATACACGTTTCAAGCTTCAAAGCTGTAATCACAGCGTCTTTTTATGGAACTGAATTACATTGTAGGAAATTGCTTTAATGGAATGATTTCTCATGTTTTGATCTCTCTGCCTCAGCTTTAAAATAAATTTTAATACGTAAATCCTAATACAGTTGAATTATTTCAGCTATAAAAATAGCTGAATAGGCTCTTTGCAATTTGTTAGAAGATGAGGGTCACTTAATATTGCTCCTTTTCGGTATGATTGTGCTTCATAGAAGACAAAATGGAGATGTTTTGATTATCGTTATCCTGTGTACTAGCCCTGTGCTAAATTTAGGAGTCTGTGTATTAAACTTGAGATGGAGAATATTCAGTCAGGCCAGAAATACTTTGCTTATTTCTAGTATTTAGATACTATAAAGAAACTGTGGCTTCATGCCAAGAATTATTGAAGGCAAAACATAATTGGAGCTTCAGGAAGTGAGAAATGCACTTCAGCCAACCTATTTTTTACAACAGAGATGTTTAAATAAATAAAAGTCTGTAAAAGGACGATGCATGCTGTGAATGGAGGATAGTCAAGCAAGATGACAGAAACTTGGTAAACCATCTGAAAGCCTGTAGATTGAAGACTACAATCAGCTAGAAGAGAAATAATTCCAGTCTGAAGGGAACGATGTTATGATTGTTTGGCATTGGAAAGATAAAAATGTACATATGCTGTGCCTTCCAACAAATGCTGTCTTTGTTGGGCAAAATACTAGGCATCTTTCTTACAAAAAGGATGCCGTTGAAGTGTCAGCCTTTTTTATTTTCTCTGTAGCTCATTAGAGTTCTTTATAGGTAGCTTTTCTAATGTACCTCTGGCACCTCATGATCATATTTTAGAACATTGGGTTAATGAAGAGGTGAATTTGCAGGAGAGGTCCAGAAAACTGCAGAAGTCATTACATATGAATAAGTGAGATTTCACTGGAATGAATTCTTGTGTGTTGTGGCTGAAAAATTAGAATGAAAATGGTATGGTCTAAATTCAGTTTACAATAGCAAACTTGGCTTCTGTTGTGTAAATTGGATTGACATGCAGCTGGTAGGAGGAACTGACAGTGAAGAAGATACTGAGGTTATAGGAAACTGGTTAAAAAAATCTGCAGGTTTCTGAAAGATGGCATTTCATTAAAATTAAATATTAAGTAACATAGCTAGAGAGAATGGGAAACACTCACAGTCTCACGACTGAAATAAAAGGCAAGTCATGTCATGGATAAGAATGAGCAGGACTTTGGAAGCTCTGGCTGTTGGGTCATGGCGTGGTGTGGTGGAGTTGTGCGCGAATGTGTCTGCGGTCACCTGCTGCCCTGAGTGGCTTGCCTAGGGTTACAGTTGTCTCTTGCCCTTTACTCGGATCAGCCAAGTCCGTTGCCTGCTCTTCAGGTGAGGATGTTCTACCATGGAAAACCATTTTTTTTTTTTTAATTCTAAAATAATGACTGCAAAAAGACTGATGGAAGAGCAGCATCAAATGAAAGCTCATCTACAGGTTTGAAAATGGCAGTGTCTGAATGTCGATTCTCAGCGTAGAAACCCAACAACACTTCTAACTCAAGCTTTTATTTATTGATACCCTGCATCTGTTTGATGCTGCAGTAAGTAATTAAATTTAGTTTCTGTTACTGTCTTCCATTGCTTTTTGAATGACAGAAAATGTTAACTTTCTCACTTTTGAAAGATGAACATGCACAGTCAGATCAGCCTAGACTTTTCTTTCTAGGGTTCCAGTACTAAAACTGCTAGTGAAACCACTGTGGCGTACATTCAGTAGGATAATTGTATGGCCCGTAAGGGAGTAGGCCAAACAAGTTGCTTTGTTTTAGTAACTTCTGCTGGATGAAATGGAAAGAGAAATAGTCTTTGCTTTTCAAAGGCCAAGAACTGAGACTGGTCTAAATTCCTCTGAAGCTGTCTGGCTGTACGAACTCTTTAAATCTTACCTGCTTTATATTCACAGCCTGACTGGCTTGAGATGGTGTTACCATTGAATTTGACTGATCTGCATTGCTACCAAGCCTGGAACTTTTCAGGAAGACCTGTCCTATCTTGTATGTCTGCTGCATATTAAATATCATCTTGAACTTGCTGTTTCAAGTCTGCAGGTGCCATTTATTATAACTGTCGAAGTACAGAGCAGAGGCAACCAGGCAGAGCTAGCAGAATTTTCTGTCACTGCCATTTCTTAATAACGTCTGGCAGCTTTTAATATCTGTTTGTTTTCTAAAATTATCAGATTTTAGATGGCACATGAAGAGCTGCAGCACACTTTGTCAGGACAGTACTTGGTCTCGTGGAGTGATATGTTTGTTTATAAATAATGGATTTCATCCAGCAGAATTTTCAATTGCATGTTATTTTTCATAACTTCTTCCTTCCTCCCTCCCGGGCTGCTTTAGTTTCTCTGCTGCAAGGGCTGACTCTTATTGACGATTCAACTGTTTTGTCCTACTGTTCTGGTAGAACTTGGGTTGTGCAAGTAACAACACATGCAAAACAAATCCCCCAAAACAACAAAAACAGAGTGGGGTGGGGCAAAGCCCCACCAAGATACCTCTTATTACAAAAAAACCATACATTTTTCCATGCCATTGTTTCTTCAAATGAATTTCAGTGGGGCTGGACCATTGAAACTATCACAAATTTGTCTTTTTTTGGCTACTTACAGGCAAAATTGTCTGACTTGTATCTTGGAACCACATGAACAGATTTTTAGATGTCAAAGTTATATTAAAAAATGCTGTGACTACATGATCCTAAGTAATGATTCAGTAAAAACATCTCATGTTTCAGGTTTTTTTTTGAAAAGTTACCTATAAAACTGTGGGTTACTTTAAAATTTGCTTGAATGAAGCTGCAGCTTCACATGCTAAGGAATCTGAAGATTGCTTGTGCGATCTTAATTCAATCTCTTGCCTTGTAAGTATTATTCTTTGAAAGTAATAGCTGCCCCGTTCACATAATAAGACAGACTTGCTGAATGTCTCAAGACAATGAGAGGGAAGGCTGCTGTCAGATGTCATTCAGCCTTTACACAGAGTGATAAAGGTGAGACAGGAGGATAAAGGATGGTTTCGTACTTAAAACGAGCTGATGCTGTGGCAAGAATTGGCTTCTGTTCCTGTCTTTGCTGTGAAGTTCCTATTTGTAGGTAGTAGTATCTTTTTCCTCTTGTGTTCTACAGGCTTATTCTAGCAGCTAATAGAGATGAATTTTACTACAGACCTTCCAAATCGGCAGATTTCTGGGACAGCAGCAATGAGATCCTTAGTGGTATGTATGTCTTGTTATTTTGAGTGGGTTTTCACAGAATCACAGAATGTTCGGGGTTGGAAGGGACCTCTGTAGGTCATCTAGTCCAACCCTCCTGCCGAAGCAGGGTCACCTACAGCAGGCTGCACAG